AAATAAATAAATAAATAAATAAATAAATAAATAAATAAATAAATAAATAAAAACAAGAAAAATTCATCCAATTGAGAAGGAGAAATCACTGGATCTTGATAAAAATTCTGTTCTATATCAACTATTCCATGCACTTCTAACTCTGGTGGTAACCAGAAGACCTTTGTCATGACTTGGACCCAAGTTAAATGATACGTATATGTGTGATTGAACATAGAATGTATATGCTAATAAAAACATCTGATAATTTTTAATAATGACATGAATTAAATGTAGTGAAACAAATGACTTCATCTCCTTAGATCATTTTTACTACATCAGTTCTTCTCACCTAAGGGAGGGGAGGGGGCGCTCGTGGAGGTAGGATGGTCTCAGGGAGATATTAGAATCACCTGTGGAACTTTTCCTCTCCTTCCTCAAGATCTGGATCCCATGAGAAGCTGGATTGGGTGGTCTTAAAATGTTCAAAGGTGTATGAACTATAGTTTCAAGTGGTGTTGGGAACTGATCTGGAAAATGTATTTTTGATGAGCGCTGGGGTATCCCCTAGAGGGGATCATTTAATCTTTTTTTAACTCTGAAAGGCCTTTATACACTAATTTCTAAAACAATTGAAGGATAATACACTGAATTAAAAGAATTTTAGAATTAATACAGCAACTTACTATAAAAAAAGGACTAAGGATTGAATCAAAAAACGAAACTGAAAGGTACGTCCTTACTTTTGTTTATTTTACTCTGGGATGAATTCACGTACAAAAGAATCATTTTCTCCTAACTCATGGCTGATTTTTATGTTTAGCTTCTACCAATTACCACTTTAAAATTCCTATTCACAGGTTAGAGCGCAGTGAGGACTGAACACAGGAGTTTTAAAGCTGAATCTCATATCCCGCTTTGGAAATGAATTTATAGAATCTGAATAGGGCTTTTAAAAATTTTAAATGAATCATGCCTTCTGCAAGTCTTTTTCAAAACAAGCGTTCTGAAATCTTTTTACACTATTGAAAACATACTGCCATACATTTAAGAGTCAATGATACAACTAGGACAATGCTGTTAAATACAGCCCTCGCATCTCCCCCGACCCACATTTCATTTTATTCCTGAGACGATATACATTACAAAGACTATAACAGTATTTCAGTACATTGGACACAAGTGAAAAGAGTTTCATAACAAAGCATGTTTGAAAGCCAGCGGTGCACAGAAAAACAATAAGAAACGTAAAAGCACAAAGATGTCATTTTTAAAGAGAGCCTCAAGTCCCTGCATCCTTTTTATACTGTCATGCTGCGGTCTTCTTCATTCCAGGATGTGGGATGAGCAAAAAGAATAAAATAAAAAACAAAAGAAACCTTTGGAAATGTGAAATGTGCATCCCGTGTATCCACGATTACAATATAGTCCTGAAGAGATCAAATAGGTTTGCATCTTATGTGTTTTAGGATTCTGTTGGCCAGACAGGGTCGACTGCACAGTAACGCATGTCTAGCTTCCCTGAAATCAACCTAAAGCCCTGTCACAACCTGCTTGGCTGTGGGAAACGTGGGGGGAGCCAGCCTTAGCCATGACTTGGATCTTTGGCCCTTAGGCCGGTTAAGGGTTTCTAATTTGGCTAGTGATTGTCCCTCCCCGTTGCTAGGAAAAAATCCGCCATGAGCGGGACTGTCTGACCAGTGAGCACAGGCTTTTGCAGAAAATACTTTCATATCTGCTCTCTGCTTTGCCTGCTTTGTAGGATGCATTCTGCTGTTTGTGTGTTTTTACTTTTTTTTTTTTTTTCAATAAAGATCTCTTGAGTCTATGTTTAATCAGACCACTACGGGCTGGATGCACTGATCCAGTCTCCCAGACACAGCTGGTTTCCTGGATACAGCAGGGTTGCAAACCTCCAGACTGAGGCCCAGCCTCCACTCAGCCAGCGCCTATGCCGTGCTATGCCACTACATGGGATGATAGAGCGGGTCATCCTTGGCGGTACCAGCTGGTGCAAAAAGAACAACTTCACTCGTCACTTTCCAATGCCACTGGACATTGACCACAGCTCGATGGTTAGACCTTACACCACACAGACAAGAATGCCACAAAGCTCCAGCATCCAAATGCTCTTCATACGGGAAGCAGGCCACAGACATGGAGACTGCTCATTGCCCCTCTCCATGCACATGAACGGCAAGAACAAAACAGGTATTTCGGAGATGCCATCAAGGCACAGAGAGATCAAGGGGAAAGATCAGACGAGCTCAGCTCACCCGGTGCATTGAGAGACTGCAAAGAGGAATGCAAGCTCAGCTGGTGGGGTGAGGATCGGAAATCAAAGTAGGATCTCCCGGGAAAGCTGGGTTGTAGATTAAGGGTGGAGGAGAAAGGACTCATTCTACGGAGCGGCAATCTTTCCGAAGGCACTGGAAAAGGGAGTGTCTGTTCTTCTGAATCTGTGTCTAGATGTAAGATCAATGCAAACTAGAGATCAGAAATCTGCTACCTGCCCAAGCACGGTTCCCCAAGACCTGCCTTACCAATGCATTTGCACAAAGCCTCATCCATCCCGCAAGTGCCACAAGGCATTTTACAAAACCAAAGTGGCTTGGGGGCCGGGAGGGCATTCTCAGCAGGTCAGGAATCAAGACCAGAGGACAACTCAAACATCACAGACAATTGCTCTCATTTCCCCCAATTTTTTAGTGCTAGAGAAGGCATTTTGGAAGGTTTCCTTTTCATTAAATTTTTTAGAGTTGAATTTAGAAACTCTTAGAGGTAGATTTTACCCATTGATGACCAAGAGTGATACTTTACCCCCTTCAGCTACCTTGGAAGTTATTACCTGCACAACAATGGCTTCTTAAAGGGTTTCTATTTAGGAGATGATGATTTTTTTAACCAATTCTTTGCTTTTCCATATTTTTCCCTTTTCTCACATATATGTATTTTTCCGTTTCTGAATGGACGAAATGATTTTTCTATCCTAACACAGTCCACACTTGCTCTTTGAATAGGAGAGGAAGACAGTGCTGAACAAGTGATCAGGGAAGGAGCCTTACCTTTGTTTCTGAATTAGGATCAGACCCCAGGGATACCACTTGGACAGCTCTGGTTTTCTAATAATAAACGGTCCGTGGGGCCGTGGTGAGGTGCGTGGGTGGCAAAAACGTCTTTATTTTCAGATACCTGGGTCTGGCATGAAGATCACTAAATTACTAAAATCACTCCTTTCTCTTTTGTCAAATAGCTGGTTCTAGGTAGTAGGGTGGTCTGGTCAGA